ATTATAGTAACTTTTACTATCTGGTATGCAGGTTTTCCTCCATTTTTGTCAAACCCGTCTTCAGTCTGTTTTGGATAACACAGGGTTTACAAGAATATAATTTTGAGCACATCATTTTCCCTCTCTGGAACTCACTCAGAAAATCAGATGCGTAGTTCTCCACGTTCTATGGCAGTTCATGTTCTTACATTCTCGTTTCCAGTTCTCTCCTTAGTGTTCCTGGAGATTTCCTGCTCCATAATTGGTGTCATCTAGAAACCTCAGCTGTGCTTTCAATACAGTATCTATTATATGGCATCCAGTATTCCAGGTAGCTGTGCGCATGCATGTGTGAGCGTGAATGCGTGCCAGCGCATGCGGGTGAGTGCATGCTTGCGTGCGTGCTGTGGACGGAGGTTTCTGGTCATGCTGGTAAGTGGAACAGAAGGTCCCATACCACTAAGTTTCTAATAAGTACACAAGTTGAGCCAGATTCTGCTTTTTAGTGTGCTCCCTCGAGCAGCATCAGGGGCATCCCTTGGGAGAGTATTGTAAGCGCAGAACCTAGGTCCTCACTGGAGACCTGCATTTTTTACCAGACCTTTATGTGATTCATTTGCACATAGGAGTTTGAAAAGCACTGAACTAGGTGTTGTCTTATATCCCCGCAACTCGAGCATTACAGAAGTCAATGATTAAGTGGTAATCCTGGTTTTCCTGATTCTTCCTATGTATCTGACTGAATTAAATCTGGGAGCATTCTCCAAGGTTTAAGACTTTTCTAAAGAAATTAGTAAGAGGGAAGGAGAAAAACAGTGAACAGTTTGTCTTATAATTTTCCTAGTCCATGATAAATATAGATAACCTGCCTCAGTTGCATGATTATGTATCTTCTTCCTGGTCTTCCTGCTTCCAGTCCTTTTTCCTTTCTACTCTTTCTGCAAATTTCTACTCCCCCATTCAGAAATCTTTAGCTGCTTCTTGTCATCTTTAGCTGTGGGGCTGTGGGGCTACTGTGGGGCTGTGGGGCTACTGTGGGGCTGCTGCTCCCACAGCCTTGCTGGAACCTGTATACCCACACTGTATCTATTTTATATAGCCTTTGCTTCTAAGACTTTATTTGAAGATGGGTTCCCTGTTTAAAAAAGAAAAAGAATGGGGCACCTGGGTGGCTCAGTAGGTTAAGCATCTGACTCTGGATTTTGGCTCAGATCATGATCTTATAGTGGAGAGATGTAGAACCGTAAGGAACCCAACTTGGGGCTCCATGCTGGGTATGGAGCCTGCTTAAGATTCTCTCTCTCCCTCCGCCCCTCCCCCGATTTCAGGAAAGCGGGCGCGCGTGCTCTCTCTCTCTCTCTCTCTCTCTCTCTCTCTCTCTCTCTAAAACAACAACAATAACAAAGAAAACAAGAGCTCATTCATCTGTGGCATTTTCCTATTTTAGTATTAATTAGAAAATGTAAGTTGGTTTACAGTATAAACATAAATAAGCATAGGAAAAAGGGTTACTGTCTCTAGTAAGGAATTGTGACTTAGAACTGATAGTATTTTTCAGCTATCAAGTTAACAAGATTCAAAATAATGTCCAGAGTTATGTAGGATAAAGGTGTCTCTAAAGTGGGAGTGTACAGCATTGTCCCATTCAGAAGGAAGAAATATTTATCAAAATTCTTTTTAAAATGCACAGTAATTATATTTCCAGGACTTTGTCCTAAGAAAATGTTTAATAATGTACACAGAGATTTAGCTACAGGGATAGTCATCAAAGTGTTGTCTCTGATTAGGGGAGAGGAAAAAAAAAAAAAAAACTTGAAATGACATAAATATGAACTAGCTTAAATTGCTTATGGCAAAATCATATAAATGGAACATTTACATGGAGAGATATTCACAAAATTTAATTTTAAAGGATGTGTTAGAAAATAATACCACATTTTAGTGAAATAAATATGTGCATTTAGGTGTGTATTTGGTTTGAGAAGAATGTAGATAACTTTTCATGTTTTACTCTGGAATTACAAGACATTTTCCCCCTCTTTTGTTTTCTTTCCTGTATTTCTAGTTTATATTTTTGTGGCTTTTAACCAGAATTAAAAAGTGTTATCTTTCAAAAAGACAGGGTCTTTCTCCTAAGGTGGATGATGGAAGAGATAGAGGTAAAGCCTAAAGAAAAAGTCACCTTGCCTCTTTCAGTTCTATATTTTCTGTTGTTTTTAGATGAAAACTCCAAGTCAGCAAATTGCCATTTCATGCATAATGACTGCCCTGTTGTGGGCAAGCTCAGTTATTTGGGAACTGATTATTCATTAAACAAATATGTAACTACTCATGTCCCTTATATAAAGACAGAATATAGGGCCTTTATTTCCTGAGAGTTTCCCTGTGCCTCACTTGTTCTTTCTGGCACTTTATAGATCCTTCATCAATGGGTTTAAGGCAACTGTATATATAATTTATCCATACCACTCAGTTTGTCCATTTTTAACAGCTACAGTTAAAATTCAAGTGTTAAAGTAGTTGAGAACTATTGGCCACAGTTTGAAAAAAGAACACGTTTTTTTTTCCCCCTTTTTTCCCCCATGTCAACAACTAAGGAAAACCAAGTATAAGGAAAACCACTTGAATTTGCAAGCATAATAATCTTTGTTTTCTCATTTTAATAAATAATACATTTGAACAAATTAAGAAAAATAGACCAGCAAAAGGAAAATATATTTAAATTACCTATAATCCCATTGCTAGGGAATAACTATCCTTAACATGTATAAGCTTATTGTTCCAGGCTATTTTTATTCTAAAATATGCATGTATACATAGCTTATATAACTTGAATCACAGTGTGCCTGTTTTTTGATGAGCCTTCATCTCGTTCAAAAGTGAGTCACGAAGACCTTTCATGGATTACTATCGTATAGCATAAATATAATGGCAGCAGGATGATCAATGTGCCAAGCTGATAAAGTTTGTTGTTTTTATTTTTTATTTTGAAAATTTAGACTCACAGAATGGTTGCAGTAATAGTACAAAGAAAGCCTAAAATCCTTTCACCTAAATTCTGTAAATGTTAACTTTTTACTGCGCATGTCTCTCTGTTTGTGTATGTTTCTCTTTTAGCCATTCTCTGTTTATGTGTGTGTATTATACTTTTATTTTTTAAACCATTTAAAAGTAGGCTGCAGACAATACAGTGCCCCCTTTACCTCTAAATTGACTGCAACTTTCTAAAACAAAGGACGTTTTTACATAAAGACAGTACAATTACTAAAATCAGGAAATTAACATTGATGGGCTATCTCTCCTGATACAGACTGTATACTTTCTCAAATTTTTCTAATTATACCATTAATTTCCTTTATAGGAATATTCTTTTTTTATCCAGGACCCAATCAAGGCTCACACATTGCATTGGTGAATTGGGGAAGAGTCAGATCACAGTGCACATTCAAATGTAGGTTTATTCTCCCTCCAGAAATTTTAAAGTCCTTTTCTATTCATTTTTAAGGGCAGTGAGGAGGTCTGGTAAACTGCATTTCAGAAATGCTGTCATAATGGGTTTTAACACCTTTTACTGTTCTTACTGGTGCTATTTTGTAGAATAAGGAACAATATTGACAGGGCTTATGGGAGGTATTTTCATACACTTTTTAAAAAAAGATCTCAGACTTCCATTTTTATATTCTAACGTTTTCATATATATATATATATTTTTTGTAACTGGAGCCATGTAATATGTATAAGGGAAATGTTTGCTTTGTTTCAAGAGTTTTGCTAATTTTTAGGCAGAAAGATAACAGTTGCCTAGAGTTTACCTTATGTTGAACTAAAATCAGTATTCCTTGGGGCACCTGGGTGACTTAGTTGGCTGGACATCCAACTCTTGATTTCAGCTCGTCATGATCCCAGGGTTGTGGGATCAAGCCCCGTATAAGGTTCTGTGCTGAGCATGGAGCCTGCTTAAGATTCTTTCTCTTTCTTTCTCTGCCCCACTCATGCTTTCTCTCTGTCTCTCTAAAATAAGTAAATAAATATCAGTATTTCTCTTTTAAAAAAAAAGGGTGTCAGTCAATTAAGAATTTCTTACCTAATCCTTAAAAACAAAGACATTGGGGGTTTTAAGCAGGAGGTAAGATTCTCAGATTTTGTTTTGTTTGTTTTAAAAGTCATTTCCCTGGCATTACAGAAAATGGTTTTGAAGAAGCTGTTTTAATAAATTCTTAGAATAGTGGAAGATGAGAGGACAAGGCAGAGACTGGTGATGGGGAGGAGAGAAAATAACATAGATCAAAGCCCAGTATGCAAAGTCACCCCTGCTCCAATACTCCACTGTGGGAATAGAATGGTTTAAATTTGTGATGCCAGACCTCTTACCACTAATATGAAAATTCACGTACAAGAAAGAGGACACAAAACGTTCCCCACCTTCAACTTACGTTTGCGAAGAATGTTTTAATTGAGTCTTATTTCTTAGTGAAAGATGATAGCTCAGTCTCACGTCTTCCGCTTTCATTTCTAAAAGTCTTTTTATACCGCCACAGTCCCCTAGTGCTATACATCAAATTAAGGCAGGCCTTGAGTGTCAGCCCAAAAGGCTTTACTTTAATATTTAGTGTAATGTTGGAGATCATTCCTAGTCTTGTACATGATTCAAATAACTATTTCTTTAGTCACCTACAGTGCTAAACTTTTGTCATCTGACAAGATAAATTAAAGAATAAGCAACAGCCTATTGAGTTGAAAAAAAAAATACGCACAATGCATTATTTTGCAATCCCATGAAGGCTAAAGAGCTTACCCTAACAAAATATATCCATCAATTCAATTTTAAAGTCTTGCCTGAAAACTCACTATGCTACACATTTCAAGTTGCACCTGAATCTTCTGGAACTAATTTAAAATGCAGATTCTGATTCCATGGGTTTGGGATAAGGTCTAAGATTCTTATCTTTCACATTCTGCCCAGGGTATCCATTCTGCTCATTCTCAGACCACATTCTAAAGAAGAATACAGAAACCATCTATTACTTCTCACTGTATTGCAGGTTTTTACTTGAAAACAGAGGTTGGAACTGTAAGTTAGAAAGAACACACACAGGGCTGGAGTCAAGACAAGGAGTCTAAGACCTGTTTGCCATCAACAAACCAGGTGACTTGGGGTAGATCCTGTGATCATTGTGGGCCTCAGTTTCCACAATGTGGACATCTGCAACAGAAAAGAGAGCTGTTTTTCTACGACATAAGGTATGTTTTTAATAAAAATTTAACAAAAATCCAACCTTCAGAATGAACAAGTTTGAGTTGGTTTAATTGCAGTAAACATATTTATTTAAAAATGTTAAATGTTTTCCTTCTGAGAGTGCAATGCCAAATAGCTACCATATGATTATAAAGAAAATGAAAAACAAAATTACCTTCCTGAGAAAGTGACCCTTTCTCTTTATGAAGTCACAGGCCGAATGAGACAGTAAACAGAGAATGTGGCCAAAGAGTCATGATTCAGGAGATTAAAATATCCCTTCTCAGAAATGGATACACTACTTTTCTGCCTCAGGCACAACTTTCAGAAAAATATATTCTTTGAATTTGGAATGAAGCAATTTTTCATTTCATTTCAACACCTGGCTCTGAAATGAGGGGAGGCAAAGAAACATTGCACCATCTCTTGCTTGAAGAATCATTCAGATTCATAGTGGCAGAGTTCCCCAAGAAATAAATGGGATCCAACTGGAACGTCCCAAATCCAATATATATAGACACTGTACAGAAGAGTATATCTTTTAAAAATCTGTAAGTGGTAAGCTGAAAAAGATGAATGTTTAAAAATGAGAGAGAGAGAGAGAGAGAGAGAGGTGACAGGGCATTTAACTCTCCAGAGTCCCATCCATTCACTCTCAGTCTTTGGGGTCAGCTGTGCTTTTGGAGAAGCCGCGTTTCCAGGGGTCCTTTTGCCAGCTGCCTGAGTCCTGTTGCTTTTGATCACTCTCTCTGACGGATGTGATGTGATTCTTTTTGCCAGCTCGTCCCTCTGAGTCTGCTAACTCGGCACACGCTGCTCTCACCTCAGTAGCAGGACTGCCTCTCTCTCAGCAAGAGCTCTTAGTCCTGCCAAAGGCCAACACCCCCTGGTGGCCCCCGCACCTCCTGACAGCCCAGCTCCCTGGCAGATGAAGCTCTCCCTCTGGTCCCCGTGTCAGATTCAAAGTCCTGACCAGCTTCCATCAGCAGAAGCTGCCTCTTAATTGCTGTAGATCAAAAAGCATTGAACATGTCAATTAAAATAGAGTGGAAGAGGGCAGACAAAGATAGGGAAGATCTGGCATTTACCAAAATAACCCATTTCCTGCTGGGCTGATGGCTTTCTTTATGCCTCATGGTTCTACTTGATTAATGGGCAGGTCGTTTCTCCAGCAACACCACGAACACAGCAATCGATTTCAGGGTCTGTCTGATTTACCTGACTCTCTGGCTTTTTTCTTTCCTATAATCCATTCCATTCTATAGCAAAAGGGTTTGTCCCTAGAACTACACATATTTCCATTAGAAGAGAACCCCCTCAAGCCACATGCAGATGTGAAGGAAGTAGCCTCATTGCTTTTGACTCACCTCTTATCAGTCCCTTGTACTTTCCTATTATATTCCATCAACATGGCTAAAATATAATTTTCAGAGCTAGAACAGGGCTTCACTACATAGTCTAACAGATGAGTAAAGTGAGGCTCAGAGAGGTGAACTGACTTGCCCAAGGCGACACAGAAACTGTACTTACTAACTCACTTTCTAGTCGGTGCCTGCTTCCATTTCACAGCTATGTTGCTACCCTAGCCATATTTCAAGAACCCGATCTAAGACCTAGAGAAGCGATCGCCAGGAAACGTGCTGGTTAGAAGCCAAGCCTACTACGCCACATTGCCCCTGCCAATTACTGGCTTCCTCCTCTGCAGAGTGGGTAGTTCATGGTCATCATGGAATTACTGTGAACATTAAGATTGTTAGTGTTGGCAAATCTCTCTTGTCCTCACAATAGCAAGTCTAGTTTATGCACTGCTTCTTAAGTGTTCAAAGAAAGTTGATGGGTTCAGGAAACACTACCCCCAAATATGGCACCTTGGCACATTGAATGTCTTAAGCTGCAGGAGTTTGAGAAAATGGCAGGATTGGGAAGTTCTCTCTGACCTCCCTCTTGCCTTTCTTCCCTGAGACAGGGACCTCTGAAAGGTACGGTCCCTACATCAGGAGGAACGGGGAGTCTCTTATGCATGATGGGAGTTTGGGATCAAGAAATCTTTACCAACAAACCTTGTTAAACTAACCCTTATGTTCCTAGTTACCTCTTCCCCATTTATTATTCCTAACCCAGCCTCCTCTGCGTCATCAGTTCTTCACAGATCTATTCTTTCTTTGTCTAAAAGGTATAAAAGCCCCTGCTCTGGTCATTTCTTAAGGTCTTTATACTTCTGTGGGGGCTCCCAGGTACATGTAAAAATTCAGTAAAATTTGTATGCTTTTCTCCCGCTAAATCTATCATTTCAGACCCAGCAAGGGATCCTAAGAAGGTCAAAGATAACTTTTCCTTCCTTAAAAAGTAAAATATGTATTGTTCATTAGATTTATGTAATGTAGCTAGAGAAGTTACAGAACAATGGTCCCTAATTTGGTAGATCAGCAGATTGCCAAGTTTTATTTTCCAAGTAAGCAAATACAAAAAAAAATCCACTTACTAGCACACCTATCTTGTAAACTAAAGAACACTAAAATTCACAGTAGGAAAGGTATAATTTGAAAAGTAAAAATCCTCCTCAAAAAGTAATAATACTTTTGCTTCTGATGAAAAAAGTGTTGTCATGGGCCAGTGTCAGTACAAACACTGCAGTTTAGTTTGCAAGCCCACTGTCTCCCACTCATCTTCAAGGAGGAAGCACGCTGCCAGAGGCTGTGTGGCCCCTTCCCTCCAGCCTTCCCACGTGAGCCGGGAGATGTAAGGCCTCCGGGGCCTTAACTGTGAACATAATTTCCAAGTTCCTAAATGAAGCAGCTGCCAGTCACCCAAGCCTTAGCCAGTGTTCTTCAAATCTGCACATAAATCCAATTTTCCAGAGTCAGGATCTCCCCAAATCATCAAAGGTAGACCATGGGCAAATATACAAAATGAATGTAACCTGGAAAAAGAGCAAGCCCTGCCCTTTGTTGCAAAATTCATCCACATTGCTGGGGAAGTTCATAAGAGTGGTACGCGAGAAAGCAGATGGAAGGCTTAACAGAAGGTCTGTGGGTTCTAATTGCATGAAGTAAACGCCCGAACCTTGTATGGCGATGGCCCTACTCAGTTTTGTGGAATTCAGACCATGCCTGGAGGTGAGGTACCAGTAGGGACAGAGACAGATGAAAATAGGCAAAGAGGCAATAAGAAGTGCAAAGGCCCTGGGGCATGTTGTAAAAGGACACTGTCAGACTAGGGGTGTCTTAGAGGAGTGGAACATCAGGGGAGACAGTCACTGTCTTTAAATGTCTGAAGAGCTGTCAGGTAGAAGAGAAAATAGAATTGCCAGAGGGCATAAGAAAGTCAAATGATTGGAAACAAAGAAAAACAGACTTATGCTACATAAGGGAAAACCTTTTAACTCTTAAAGGTGCCAAAAGAAAAAAAAACAGGAAAAAAAAGAGGAAAGGGAAGAAAAGAGCAGTTTTTTGTTTTGATTTTTTGTTTTTCGTGGGTTTTTTTACTTTTTTTTTTTTAACATTTATTTATTTTTGAGACAGAGAGAGAGCATGAACAGGGGAGGGTAAGAGAAAGAGGGAGACACAGAATCTGAAACAGGCTCCAGGCTCTGAGCCGTCAGCACAGAGCCTGACGCGGGGCTCGAACCCACGGACCTCGAGATCATGACCTGAGCCGAAGTCGGGCACTTAACCAAATGAGTCACCCCGGCGCCCCTGTTTTTGTTGTTGTTGTTTGTTTGTTTGTTTTGTTTTGTTTTTCATGAACAGTGGTGATTTCCACATACTGAGAAATATTCAAGAGAAACCAGGTTAAGGGTCTTCGGTAAGTGAGAAGGACTTAGGCCAGATATCTGACAAAAGGAAAGGAGATGATACTATAGATTCTGGCTAGGAATTGAAGATCCTGATAACCCTACCAAGTGATCTTGACCATCCCCTGGTTTCTTTCTCTGTTTCTTTGCCCACAATTGAAGCTTGATACATGGTATGTATTATAAATTCGGAGCATCCTCCTAGTTTGAGTACATTCTGGGTTCTATCAAACACACCTGGTTTTTCTTAGGTTTGATTATGGTAACTGTCATTTATTGAATATTTTCTATGAAAAAGGCACTATAAAATTTTGAAGTAGATTATATCATTATCCCCATTTTATAGATAGGGAAATTAAGTTTCAGAGCTGGTATGTGCTTTGACCAAGCCACACAGCGAGGAAGAGTCAAAAACCTATTTCTAACCACCATCATCTGCTGCTGTTAAGCCCCACAGTGCATGGCCTGAAAACGTCCAAATTTACTCTCTCAAAAGTATTTGCATTTTGCTCCAGCAGCCTCTGCTTCATCGCCAAGTCCCATGCCTAGAAACTGACACAAATTCCTGGTTACCCAAGGATTACCTTGGAGATCAGCATCATGAGATTGTTGTCCTTCTCAACTCTATTTTTTTGTTTTGTTTTTTGTTTTGTTTGTTTTGCTATTAAAGTAAGCCTCCATGACAGCTCCTACTTTCACATTCTGGGACTCAGTACCTATGTAAATAACACTTTAGACAACCTAGGCTCCCATGTCCTTGACCCCAAACTACAGTCCTCTTTCTCTGTAGCCCACTTCAATCAATTACCCCTTGCTTGGGCTTACGTCCTTTACTATATCTAAGGTATCCTCCTTTTTTAAAATTTATTTTTAAGAGACAGAGAAGGGGAAGGGGCAGAGAGAGAGGGAAAGAGAGAGAATCTCAAGCAGGCTACCCACTGTCAGTGTGGAGCCCGTCAGGGGCTCAAACCCAGACTGCGAGATCATGACCTGAGCAGAAATCAAGAGTCACTTGCTTAACCATCTGAGCCACCCAGGTGCCCCTAAGCTATCCTCCTTCTCACCAAAACAGTTCATCCTTTACACTCCTTCATTTTCTGACCCCGACTCTATGATCCTCATAGTCTCTTGGAGCACTCTTCCCTCTTCTCACAGACTCACTTCCCTGCTCCAGCCTCATCCCAAGATCTCAGGCTGCTCTCACCTCAAGCCCTTTCTTTCCTTCCAGTCCTTTGACACTGCTGCACATGAGCACCTACACCTCCAACCAGCCCCGTCTTCTGCTTCCACATGTGGGCCACTGATGCAGCCGCCACAAACCAAGAGGCCATGAAGACTGACACCATCATGAGCGTGTAGAACTCAGTCACAGCTGCTGCCCAGTCTACACTGCTCAGTGATTCCTAGTCAGTCCCTCCATACTGTCTCAGGCATTTTTCCAGACCCTCACATTTTCCATAAGCTTCTAAATCCCACTCTCTGGTGTAGACTAGATCTTACATCTTATTTCACATGCTCAAGCTTCCAACCTTGCTTCCTCATTCTCAGCACAGAGAATCAGTTCCCTTCTACTACACGGAAGGAAGAGATTACAGAAACCCTATCCACTTCACACCTCTAGATCTAGGTTATCTGTCCACACTTTCCTCCTGCCATCGTGTCATACGTGGCCACGTATGAATAGGTCATGTAGAATAGGCTATTCTATGATGTGATCTATAAGGCCAACTCCT